AAGCCATACATGTTTATTTCTCCTTCGTGTTGTGTAAGGAGTTCGAATATGGCTTGCATTGCGGAGTCATTCGACACGTTTGTATAAAGGGCGGTAACGTCGAAGGACTCCATCACGCACGCGCTGTTGGGCTGCGCAGTACGTAGACGATCCAGAAACATCTGGGTATTCGTAAGATAGGCTGGAATGTGTTTTAACAACTGTTTAAATATTAGGGTTAAAAACTATGTTATCCTGTCCGTTGGCCTGTCTGCACAGCTAATGATAGGTCTAACCTTAAATAGTGATGGATCGGTAGACGCAAGATCATCGCTGGATACTAACTTATGAGTTTTTATAAGTAAGTACAAGACGTGGCATGTTGGTAAGGCAACTTTAAGTTGAGAGATAACTGATGGTTTCAAACCAGCAGCCCTTGCCATTTTGGCCCATTCGTGGTTTAGTTTTCGGTATTTACTTTTGAATTCCTCCTCAGATGATGGGCGATAAAGCGAGGCATCTTCAAGATGCTTTTTCGTTATCTCCACATCTAACTATTGAGGAATTACGACAAACTCTCCACCCTTATCACTAACGGAAAGTCTTATGGTTTTCAACCTTATCAGGTCTCGTACCTCTCGCATACCACGTTTTTGCACTGGAGTGAGGTTTGAGCTGTATCTTTTCGCGCGATAGTGATTAAGGACTTTAAGAGTTTCATTCGCAAACATCCGAAATTTAACATCAACTTCATTATTGGGCTCTTGTTGTCTAAAGAACGTTGGGGAAAATGGTGCTATTGGTATTGTGTTGTGTTTTTATGGAAGTAAATGTATGCTGTTTAAAAACCTCGCGATTGCTGAACAAGAAAATGACACATTCTTTATTTACTGTCTACAACAATTTTTCGCAGCGTGATATTGTGTGGAACACAATCAGAATAATGTTGAGATATTTGAAAAATTTGAACCGCAGGTCTCTGCGTGGAAACCACGTGATCGTGGAGATCGAACACGCTAAGACCCTTTCAGGGGGTTAACGCGTTCACCAACACACGATGCTCAGGAAGTCTATAACTGATAAAGCTGGTGTCTTCCCATAAGATATTGTGCTCAAAATTCAACGTCTAGCGGCGGGTTTTAGAAAATCTGAAGGCAAGGAAACAAAACACACGAGAGAGAGAGGCGAAGCGAAAGATGTGGACAGAGCTATGTAGTTTGCTGGTGAACGTGGTACCTCCTGGAGAAAGCAATAGCGTGTTCGATGCCCACGGCGACACCTGCAATCTGCAATTTTGCAAAGAGTTCAGCACAATTGTGGTTGTATTTCACATAATACCCTGCCGTAAAAAATTATGGTAAGCGGTAAATAAAAGTTAGTGTTGTGATTTCGACTGCAGGCTGAGCTTAACTGGATTCAATGCCGATTTTGCTCTCTACACCAATTTCATTGACTGGTGATTGCTGATGGGACCGGGAGATAAAAAAATACGATGTACATATTTCAGAGCACCTTTAACCACTGCAATAATGGTGGCTTCCATTTCTATCTTAATGGTTCGCGTTCTTTGGAATTTCTTTTGCACTCGTGGATTTTTCTTCCTTTCCAGTGAGTGTTTATAGCGGCGTACGAGATTTTAGGCCCAAGTTACTCTTCAGTGAAGTTTTGTACGACACAGTCTATTTGTCTATTTGTAACTGCCAAGTCCGACTTTCTATTAACCTCGGCATTGATTGAATATATATTTCTACTTCTGTTCAGCAAACACGAGGTGCTATTTCTATCCGGAGTGATGGAAGGCTTGGTGGGCTAGGGGCGCAGGAATCGATTCCACGAATCAAATAAAATTTTAGACATGTAAGTAGAGAAAATTGCTGAATTAGGGATAAGTCGAGAGTTATGGAGCCGGGCAGCGTTGCTGTGAGTTCTTACGGTTTGAAGATATCGATGGGAGATTCTCTTAAATCTTCTCAGTGCACTTTTGTCTTATTAATCTACTAGGATAAAGAGTAAGAATTTTTACTCGTGTAAGTATTGGCGACAAGGAGGTGAACAATATATGCATCAGTGACAATAACGATTACATTAACATTAATAGTGTTAATCACTCGGGCGAGCGCGTTCCTTGTTTCTTATGTTTGGCAATATCCTCATTCACGTCTTCTATGATCTCCTCAGCTTGTTCTCTGAAAATCAGAACAAATCGTCCAGAAACAAGCCTACTATGGGCGAAGTTCGAACTTAGTGAGAATCATGTCTCCTTGGAATAGCGCCGAGCCGACCTTATTGCGTCCATTGATTTCCGGGATTGAACCACCCTCCTGATTTTGTACCGTTTTTGCGTAATCCTAGAGAATCACATTCACATATCACTTCAATGCGTCAAATGCAAGAAAACAACGTGCTTACCTTCATCGCTTTCAACACTTCAGGACTCGGCTTTTCAGATGCACTGAGTTCCTCCTTGATTTCATCTTCCATGTTGTGCAATTTCCTGAGAAGTTCCATTGTGTCATCCGCATTTGGTTCCTGTAAGATGTGCAGGATTGAGAGAACGACAATAGTTGATCGAGTCATACACGTTGTCTTTACTTTTAATTGGATAGCCTTACGTTTTTCAGCAATTCATTTCCTTCTTTTAGTTTTTCTTCGAAGCTTCCTTCTCTTGAGGATCGCTTAATTCTTGGCGCTTGATTGTTGAGTATTGTTGCGCCAACGAAGCTAACAAGACATGCGAATACGAAAACCTTCATTCTGAAGGAAATGTGAACTGTTAGCTACTCCCTCTACACTGCTATTAAAAACTGAGTAAATTGGGTAAACGCAAGTAGAGCCGATTAGTTCACATCATGCTTCAGACATGACTCGAGACTTCCACTCACTTAGACGGGTACGAAGATCATCACGCTTATAATACAATAAACTGTATTTTAACTCTTTTCAGCGATAAGTATCCAAAACGGTCTCACACATCTCCTCAGTGACACAGTCTCAATCTTCGGAAAAATCCTAACTAGTTTTCAGTTTCGGTAACTCTTCAGAGATAGACTCTCTTTTTCCACCGCAGTTTTAAACTCATGAATACCTTTCACGATTAGGGAAGAAAATTGCATGGAAACGAGAAGGGGGTTTTGCAGACAGAAATTTAATGGAAACGAAAGAGAACTTTGGTGAGGAATGGCGGAAGGTGAACATCGATCGAACGTTAGCCTGGCTCTTATGCAGATTTTACTGGTAGTTGTTTACACAAGCAGTGAAATATTTGATTTCTAGTGGAATGAAACAAAGCAATTTATTTAATTTGGACCTTTCAGCAAAATATTTCGGTTGGCTTTTTATTTGATAGAACACAAAGGCTAGCTGAATAAATAAGCTCTATGCGTGCATAACTAGAGGAACACGAAGTAGTCGTCGACACAAACAGCTCCACAACAAAGTTTGATACGTTGATTATGCATAGCAGCAGGCTTCCTCAACTCAATTGTTACGATTAGCCACGCATGTGTGTTGAAATTTGAAGCATCCACCGTTGATGAATCTCTGACGGTGCGCGGTGCTCTCGACTTCATCAACCATCGTTAGAGGTGATTAAATGAACATCTTATGTCATCATTTCTGGTGGCTTACAGATGCAACGAGTCAATGCTGCTATCCTACCAGACAACTCTGGTGCCAAATTACCTTTCCAGGATGACATAAGGCTTAGTAGGCTCGGGAATGGTGATCGAGCCATGTGTACAGTATATCAATCCGCTGATCTAAACACGCCCTATGACACATGCATGCATACGTATATACAAAATTCGAGACCTATATATTTATGTTTATGTATATATATATATGTATATATATATATACCTGTATGGACACAAGAATACGCTTATCAACAATCATGTCCAAACTACTCGAAATAGAGCTGAGTTGCTTGATTTTTGCTGATAGCTTTTTCATTGACCCTTCCTAGAAGACTATGGTTGATGGAATGGTCAGCAAGACAGATGTGAGTGTTACACAACTACAACGCCGACCGCAAATGACTTTGGCGACACGGCAAGATCTTTGATTTGGTTAGATTTTTTTACTTGAAAGGCTATTTATGGACAACGAAGAAGTTTTTTTTTGCAACAAATTACCTTTCAGACCACAACAAAGACAAATTTGACACCACCAACTCGACTAGACACAACCCTGAAAAAGACGAAATCGCCGAATAAAAGCTATTGCGCCAAGATGATATCAGCTCATTCATAAAGAAAATTATTCATTTTTGTTGAAAAGGTTTGATTAAGATCGATTTTTAAAATATTCTCACTGTACAGTGCCTCTTAATGCAGTACTATTTGGCAACGCGTCCTCCAGTGACTCATGTCAAAAAGTCAGCATAAGGTATGGCGCAGGTCACGACGAATGATTGTAAGGCAGTCGTCCCTACTGTTCATTTTTAGGTTTGGGAATTTCTGCAAAACGCCGATAGTTTTTCTTGCAGATGGATGGAATTGATGTGCATTGCATGAGTAGTAGATGCAGTCAAGCTCGTATGCGAGGACAGAAGCTCTACTTTGCAAGCTATTAAATTCCAAACACAGTATTGGATCACCTCCAAGATGGCACGAATGCAGTCGAATGCCTAGCGCTACCCTAGGGGTTAATTAACGTGGAGCGCTTTATTCTATGTCCTTCTATCACTGTGAACCATTGAATTAGTTGATTTGGCCTGGTAATATATTCATGTGACTTCCCAACTTAGAATCTCAACTTCGTAGCGGTTTTCAGTGACTATCCAACAGCGAAAAGAATTTGCGGCTGGATATGGGTGATTCCTATTAGCGGATCCAATGCAGAGACGCTTACATTTTCATGAACATGACACCATTATGAAACATTCATTCTGTCCCGAACCCATTCGACGCTTTCGTTGTGGAAGGATTCGATTTAGTTTACGCTCAAAAAGTTGCTTCTATCAAAAGATGATGACGGATTTTAAAAAAAAAATCTAGGAAAAGATTTCTCGGTACGCTTCAAAGCTGGGCTAATTCTGCCATGCCACGTTTTCTTAATGATGAGGTTTCGCAGAGTTTCTCGACCACCACCAAAGAATTTCTACAGAGCAGGAAGAAAGTGAAGTTAGGATCGACTTCAACGGATCTAACACAGCAGGTGGCAATAAATGCCAGCGATAAAAGTTGGTTTCTGGCAACCCTTCAATTCCAAAAGAAAAATGGAAGAAGAGAGCAAAGAACGAAAGAAAAGAGCTAAAACTTCTTTTCATTTTAAATTCTGGTTCGACACCAAAATGTCGCATAAGAAGAGCAACCACTTATTCGTTCTCTAAAAGGTTTACAAGTAATCATGAAGGGGTATAGCTCCAAAACTGGATAACCTCTATTGCATTAGATCTGCCTATCCCATAAACTGCAGTACAACAAAGCCTTAAAAAGAAAAGAAAAATTTTCCACAATTATCACAGTTGGGCCTACTGCACAACCATCATCTCTGAAAGGATGTCCGAAAGAATCTTTCAACCATAACTCTATTTGCCTTTGTTGCCTGCTTCACATGCTCCTTGCAACAACTGATCCTCGCTGTCTCTTACGATCAAAGGTTTTGTTTAAGCAGTAGATCGAGCACGGTTCTGTAGGAATCGTTGTGCCACCCAGAACGTAGCCAAAATAATGCAATATTGGTCAAAACAGTGCTCTGCTTTTGTTCTTTGACTACGTAGGGGCGCTCACTTCTGCAGTGTCGAACTGACGCTTCTCTAGCTGTGCTCATCGATGAGACCATTCCTATATTAGAACTCCTTCTGATTGTAGAAGGAGAATGGCTTCGATGGAAACGTAGCGTCCTCGAAGATCAGCAAACCAGGATATATATATATATATATACATATATATATATATATATAACTGGTGAACGTGAGCGTAGCCGACATCAAGCTTTACTCGTAGTTCGAAAAGTCTATGAGAGAATCAGAAGAATGGAAAATGTGCAGTACAATTTGCGAATATGGGCCATAGAGCAACCATGTGAGTAAGAAGTAGCTCAAAATGTTCAAGATACTCCTATATTATACCCTTCCAAATATTACAAACACGATACAGCATCTGATGCTGCTGATGCTGCCGCTGCTTATCAATGCGTCAATCAGCGACTGCATCTCGTAGTGCAAGAGTGTTACACACACACACACACACACACACACACACACACACACACACACACACACACTACTTGGTGGCTTCGTTCGCACGCCGCTCTTGCTATTGACGCACGCACACGGGTCTGCCGATGACTGCCGCCTATCGCAACCGTCTCTCATCGAACACAACCCGAACGGTCGCAGCCTATATATGCGACGAACATGTTTCGCTGTTGCCGCCATCCTCATTCACGCTGTTCTTTATGTTCATAGAACGTCGAAAACAAACGTGAGAGGTGGTCCCTGTAATCAGGTAACCATCTAGTTCTATTTGGACGCCTTGGCACCATAGATTATTCACCAACTGGGTGTTCGCCCTATTTATGCACGAACCATTCTTTTATCTCGCTTCGTTAAGCTTATTTTGGATAGCCTCTGCTTCATTGGTACTCCTCAGGAAAACCAAAAGGGAAATTTGGAACGAATTTTCCATCAATGTGTATGTCTTTCCTGTCCCAATCGAGTGACTTCATTTTCAACTAAAATGCAGTTGAAAGCAGCTTCGGTGAGACGATGTCCTCTTGTCGAGCTCGTTCTTTTTTGCAAACAGTAAGAAATCAGTGGAATAGCTAGAAGCATTTGGCGTGTGGGTTCGGCTGCTGCTTAAGGTTTTTCTTCGTCTTCTCGTTACCTACAGAAGATTATTCAGATACTCAGCTCTTATACTGCTTGGGTTTTCTACAGTTTTCCACAGATAAAATAAGTAGTATGTTGAAGTTTGGAGACGAGAACTGATGAACGGCATATTTATCCATCGCAATTTTACATAGAGGCGTGTGGACGCGCTTATTGAAAAGATCAGAACAGTATTCATAGACGGTTTCTTCCAACGTCTTTCTGAAAGCCGTAACTACTCCGTCTCGACGGCGTAGTGCGATCGTCGGAGTGTGACAGTTGGCGAAGCTTCGATGTGATCTATCTCTCTATCTCATTACGGTTTTCTCCGACGGCAGGCTCTCACGTCCAGCATTGAGAGAGGCTTCTGGAATCGTGAGTTACCATGGGTGGACATGGTCGTAGTGGTGAACTCAAACAGCCACTCATTCCATTCGTTCCAATTAATTTTCAGGTGTTATTTTATTTCTTTATTTACGTACAAGCTGACGCTTCAGCAGATTTCGCCTTTCTCGGAGTCTGGAAAGGTCAAAGCCACTGCCGAGGTTAATACAAAGTCGGACGTGGAAGTTAATTTTCAGGTCTCAATGTAATGTTCTTCAAGTTCTACTGTGTCAAATCGCCAATGACAAGCTTTAAGGATGCGTGGTGTAATGTATGAGGCTTTACCAAGGTCATAGCCATCTGCGACCGAGTAATCGTTATAGCTTTACGTTAGTGCGTAGACAATAAAGATTGTCAATGCCTATTTGTGGCAACTACTACTTTCTGAATAAGCTTCGATAAACTCTTTGTGATTTCTTCTGTTCAAGCATTAATTCGTTCGTTAATGTCTGTGTGTATATACCCATCTCTCTAAATATGTCTGGGTACCACAAATACATCCATGTTTGACAGACGATATGCAAAAGCATTTATTGGATAAAAGGTAGTACTTGCTAACAAAGACTACACGATTGCGCGCAGATCAACATCCTTAACTCCTCATCATACTTGGAGGAATGGCAGATATTTCATGTCATTAATGTAGTGCATCTGAGCAGGTACCTAGAATTTGTAAGAATATAAAGCAGTAATCACAGCACATACACAGAATCAGAAATATCCTTGCAATCTGGACTAGGCGTATACGTTGGCGAAGTAGTGTCGCCTACAGTTCGCGGGTTTGCATAGAAAAGGCAGTTTGTGACATATATATATATATATTTATTTATTTACATATATACAAACATTACCAATTCGGCAACGTAAAACGACTTTAGTGTTGTGGATATCGTTGAAAGTACTTACGGAGACGATGTTGTACGTAGAGATCAAAGATATTCCAACATTCTTTGAATCACAGAATCTAAACACTTTTCAAACAACTACATTTTAACGTTTCAGTGCTCCATTGTGTATGACGCTCACCTGTAGCCAGCGCAACGTTTATCCTTTCCTGTTTTAGTTTCAACTCTAGCGTGTGAACATCCGCCATAGCCCAAACCTTGTGCAAAGTTATCAAAAACTATCTCAATGGTTGAACCAATTGGTGCCTTAACAAATGTTTATCTTAGCTTCAGTATTAATCAGTTTGAGCGTAGGCTGGAATACTTGAATCCAGTAATGGCACAACGTGTAGTCGAATTTTGTTTTGCTTGGATTTCTTTCAACCAATCTGTCTTCTAGCGTTTGGAAGGAGGTGGTTGCCGCCAATATCTTGTCGCAACAACTTGGCTGTAACAAATGATTGCCATGTTCAGATGATCTGTGAAGTAGAACCTATTTAGGTTTAGACTCGCATACTCTTTTATTGCGAAGTCTACCGCTATATACGCTAGGACAAATGCATTTAGAGCAGTTTCTGGGATGTGGAAACCCGCCATTTTCACAAACAGCAGAGGACTTTCCATTCAATTTTTCTGGAAAAATTAAGTGTCATGTGAAAGTGGTTAAATAAAAGACGAAAGAATAAAGAAGTTTTCTTACCGAGGCATCCGTGATGCATGTTTACCATGAGCTTATCGTAGAATGAAAGCATGCGAGACCCAAGGGTTTGAATATACTTGACATCATGTGGTACTACGATGAGTTCGCCGTTCTTTAAAACACTGCACTTAAGGTGCTTGACATTCTATTATGGTATGAAGCTAAGACATAGAAAACTTGACGCACGGTTACCTCGTTGGTGCGTTATGCATAACACTTCCATGATCATAAGTGAGGGTATAGTTGTAGTTACTATTTTCACTTTGTTTTATGAATTGAGACAACCAGCCATCCTAAAATCATATGTTAAAAATTCATAACTATCAACGTTTTCAAATCTACCCAAAAATTTTTTGCATAAAGTGTAATAAAACCTTTTGACCGTGTCTTGACTGCGTATGGAAATGTCCCAAAGGATGTCCAATCTCGTGTACAGCGGTTCCAACCTGCGCAAAATAGGAATGACATGTCGTATGAATAAGAAACAATGAATACTTCACTACTCATACCGATTCGCATCCGGGGCCAAGTGGAAGACTTTGTTCACCTCCAAGCTCCATCGTATGACCACCTCCACTTTTGATAACGCTAATTGTATCGGTAGCAGAAGGCTTAATTCTTTAGTGATTATTACACTTTGAAAGCTCAAGCGGTTTGCAATCTTCAATTTTTTTCCCACCTTGGCAGCTCTTTCTAAAACGGATACAGGTATCATAAGTTCCCTACCAGATGTTTAGCACCTCATCGTGGCTGGGAGGTGTTTCTGGATGTCGGACTGCGAAGCACAGCGAAAGGATTCGTCTCTCCGGCAGGGTCTCTCAAGCTGAGAAGGGGTCCGGCGTTTCCACCATGAAGCCTAGCTAAGAGTAAACCAATACCAGAATCCGCCAGCATCAAAGCCGCATGGTAACAATTCTCCCTCTGATCCACAAGGGCTGCGACTGCCTGGTCGTTGTGACGACCTAGGGCAGACTTTGGCTAGGCTGTCCACGGGTTTCCAGGAAACCACAATGGCTTAACCAGCAAATCTCGGAAAAGTGGAGATTATGCTTGGGCGTTGACAGCCCCCCATTCCCTCACAACATTTTTGGTATTATATATTATAAAAGTGAATTGATAACTACAAGAGAATCGCTTTGGTGGTTCACTGATTCATTAAGGTAGAAAGGGTTCTTAAGTATCGAACAGTGATCTGAAACGGGAGGGTCATACTTCCAGCATCGTCATCAAGTTAAACGCGTTTGACAGTTCCATTTAGCAGTTAACTAAGAATAGGCCAATGGCATTGTAGGGCAAGGCGAGCGACATTTAGTTTGACTGAAGTCAAGAGTACTGAAGAAAGCGGCATCGTATCAGGTGGTGTGATGCTCTTTTTGAGGGAGGAGGTTCCATTGAATTATTCGGAAGACCATGGAGTTAATAGATAAGAAAATCGTTAAGAAATAAGAAAAAGTGAATAAAAACTACGGCATAATAACAACCAAGAGAAGAAGGAAGAGAATGAAATTGAAGGAAAAATTGAGGAAAATGAACAATAGAACTATACTAAACTTTGAGTGTAGTTAAAAACTGCTTAAAAAAACAGGCTGGTATGCCGTGTCACGGAAACATTTTCTTCATTCGGTAAGAGATGACAAATGACGCAAATCGCACTAAACAACGACAATAGCGTTGAATGGCAACGAATCGAGCTGCCTTGTGAAGTGCTATTGCTCTCGAATGTTCGAGAATTCGATCGAGCAGTCGCAATTCTCACACATATAAACAGAGTCACCGTGCACTTTCAGTCACCGAAATTCGAAACAAAGTCGTCCTTTTGGTTGAATTCGTTTCCAACTAGCACGTATTAATTAGCAAGAAAAGCAAGAAAAGCAAGAAAGAGTAGTACAGAGAGGTTGAGGGGACCCTGGATGGACCCATGGTTCGAACTCTAGTAAATTTGTCCCTATCCTTGTAGGGTTCGAAAGGTGATCGTCATAAGATAAGAACTCTTATTTAATACACCTGTAGACTACTCGAATTTATTGCATACGGCAGATATACATTAAATCACTTCTACGAAGATTATCGATGTCACATATAGGGAAATCATGGAAAGCATTAATCAGGAGTTGATCATCGCCTAAGGATTCGGGCCACGGTTGAAAAAATGTCTGCTTAATTTCTCGGTATATATTAATGAGTAGTTTAAAATTATCCCCACCAGACATTTTTTTTATTTTCATAATATTTCAATTCTTAGTTTTCTTTCTTTGTTTGATTTTCGAATTCATAGATAGATAAGCTCGGCATTTTCCACAATCTTCCGCTATAGTAACCAATACACACGTCGTCAAGCGCATCAAAGAGAGAAGAAGTAAAGTTACAATGGTCCTTTTGCATTTCTCTTTATCAAAGGCTTTTTAGAGCGGAGTATGTCCTTTACGTATTCGTGAGAAAGCCGATACAGAATTTGAGCCTCGAATTCGTTAAGGAATCGGATGTGATTAGCCACTATCTACTCATTCTACCAATTCTTGCAGAAACGGGGTTGGTGTTATCTAACCAGAGTTTGACAATACTGAAATTGGAATCAAGGACTGGTAAACTAAAACAGTTATGGATTCACAGAACAGTGAACGAAAACAAAACGCAAAACGATAGGGGTGAATGGTACACAGTTGATCCTGATACTTCTGCTGTCCTTTAATCAGCTGTCTTCAGAGACAATGCACGATTTTCGATCAACAGTTGCGGTAGTCCCAATCGGTTTAATCTCAGTAGTCTCAACAAATTCATGGAAAGTATTGATATGCTTGAAACTAATTTAAAAAGCAATAAAGAATAAAAAAGAGTGAAGATAAAATGATGCATGGATATTTGGAAACTTGGACTGCGCGTCATCTCTGGTTGTGTCGGTTCCAGCATAATTTCCATTGTTTCGGAGTTTTGCTGGATTAGCCATCCGCAAATCTCAAAGCGCACATGGATGCTCAATGCCAGGGACGAATCGAATAAAGGACGCTTTTGTATTCGTAAAGCATGTGTGAATTTCAAAGCATGAGCCTCTCATAAATTAAGCCTCGTTCATACATCGTCTTATGGCTAAGTTTTATATCCTCTTCAATTTTACCTCTTTTTTCTTTTAACAGTTCAGAATAACCTGCGGTAGATTATTGAGAGGAAACCGATGCTTTCTGGTGTACAGAATATGTGCAGTATCTCTGAAGGCAGCTGGTTAACCAGAAGTGATAGTTCCATAACCAAATACGAGCCATTCATTCGAAAGACTTTGTGTACTGTTTACGTTCATTGCTCTTTGATTCGGCCTTTCATAAAAGAGATTCCTCTCAAGTTAGAGGATTAAAGCCTATCACTGTAAGTGACTGCCCGTTTTCTTCTATTAATGTGTTGTGTAGACGACACTTCTACAACGACTTCTGTTCATCGTTATTTTCTTGGATCATTAAGCTAAGATTAGATTGGTGCACGAGTGTGAAAGGAAAATACTTGTTCATCAATGGAACGCTTCAGCTTTCTTCACCAGTTTTCGAATTTAGCATCACCCTACGTGATAAGCACGAAAATGCTTCGCTTAGTTAAAAGAAAACAAGTGGTTGATAATCATGAAGACAAAAAAAGTAGCTATGAGAGCATTCTTGAATTCCGACTAACACTGCAACATATCCCGAACAGCAGTACGAATTTTTTAATCATTATCACTATTAATAGTGATTTAAGGACTAAGCAGAAAAGTAGAAATAATTTCAGCTATAAAAACTGTTAAGAATGGCTTGCTGAAAAGGTGTCAGCTATGTGAACAGTATCCATATCAAATCAAAATTGATTGCGATGTGAGCCTGTGAATAACAGTCACTTTCCGATCTCTTTGTCTTTTTAGGGTTTTTTCATTCCAGTTTTTTCGCATTTCAGGATGAGAGTAATACTATTTGCTTTTCTGGTGAGTAGCGCCTATGCTGGGATAGTTGACGGCCCGGAAACGAGAAATGGACGATCCACCAGCGAGGATGGTTTTGATGAAAAACTAGAAGAGGGATACAACTTACTCAAAAGCGTAAGGCTCTCTCACCACCTTCGTGTTCGCAAAATGTCCGCAGAGAGTTCCTTACCACTCATTCGCTCTCTTAGGAGCCGAGTGCGAAAGATACGATGAAGTTTTTGAAGCAACTACACAATATGGAGAAAGAAATTAAGGACGAACTCACACCGTCCCTACAGCGTTCTACCGATTCCTTAAATATGATGGAGGTGAACATATTATGTCTCGCTCGATTGGTAGTGGAAAATGGAACAGAATTTCAGACTGTCTTCAAAAATAAGATGGATCACATTCAACCAATTCAATCAAGTGATTCAATTGAAGAAATCAATCAAAACAGCAAAGTGGACACGGCATTGTTCCAAGGAGATATGATACTCACCAAGTGCATTATTTCATATAGCTTCGTTTTGTTGACCATTATCCTTTTTTACACCACTTTTCTTTTCAGGGAACAAACTGAGGAGATTTTGCAAGACATCAAAGCGAACAAGGGCAAACGCAACAAACGACAGGCCTTCCGTGANACAGAATTTCAGACTGTCTTCAAAAATAAGATGGATCACATTCAACCAATTCAATCAAGTGATTCAATTGAAGAAATCAATCAAAACAGCAAAGTGGACACGGCATTGTTCCAAGGAGATATGATACTCACCAAGTCCATTATTTCATATAGCTTCGTTTTGTTGACCATTATCCTTTTTTACACCACTTTTCTTTTCAGGGAACAAACTGAGGAGATTTTGCAAGACATCAAAGCGAACAAGGGCAAACGCAACAAACGACAGGCCTTCCGTGACAAAAACTATCCCAAAACGTTGTGGTCACAAGGATTGATTTACGCCTTCTGGAACGCATGTCTGCTTTTATAACTATTGCATTTCCACGACCATTGCTTCAAAGTCCAATAATATAAATTCAGCCTACGACGCAAGGGTGGTTTTCAAAAAGGCAGCAGGAATATGGACTTATTCTACATGCATTAACTTCGGAGAGAGCCAAACAGGTGAGAGAAAAAATCAGAGATTGGAAATCTCTAAACGCTTTAAAGTATAATAATTACTTGAGGAATAAACTTTCAGCTACCGATAGAATTAACGTTATCAAAGGTGGTGGTTGCTGGTCATACGTTGGAAGACTTGGAGGTGAACAAAGTCTTTCACTAGGCCCCGGATGCGAATCGGTATAAGTAGTAAAGTATTCGTTTGTTTTTTATTCATACGACATGTCATTCATATTTTGCACAGGTTGGAACCGCCGTACATGAGATTGGGCATGCTTTGGGTCTCTTCCACACCCAGTCAAGGCATGATCGTGACGACTTCGTCACACTGTATCCAGAAAATTTCCAGGTAAATTTAAAAGCACAGATAGCCATAAATTTTAAATGTATGATTTTAGGAAGGCTGGTTGTCTCAATTCATAAAACAAAGTGAAAATACCAAACTACAACTATAACCTGACTTATGATTATGGAAGCGTTATGCACTACGCAGCAACAAGGTCGCCGTGCGCCAAGTTTTTTAGGCGTTAGTTCTAAATCATAACAAATTGATAACACTTTAATTGCAGTGTCTCAAAGAACGGCAAGCCCATCGTAGTGCCACTCGATGTCAAGTATATTGAAACCCTTGGGTCTCGGTTCCTTTCATTTTACGATAAGCTTATGGTAAACATGCATTATGGATGCCTCGGTGAGAAAACTTCTTCACCTTTTCGTTTTCCATTTAACTACTTTCACATAACACTCAATTTTTGCAGAAAAGTGCAGTGGAAAGTCCTCTGCAGCTTGTGAAAACGGTGGGTTTCCGCATCCCAGAGACTGCTCTAAATGCATTTGTCCTAGCGGATATGGCGGAAGACTTTGCAATGAAAGAGTAGGAAAATTAAAAATTAAAGCACTTTTCTTTAAGACACCATCTGGACCAAAAAATCATTCGTTACAGCCAAGTGGTTGCGGCAAGATTTTGACGGCAACCACCACCTTCCAAACACTTGAGGACACCTTGGGTAAAAAAGATTCAAGAGAAAGGAAACTTGACTACACGACGTGCCATTACTGGATTGAAGTATTCCAGTCTAAGCTAAAATTTAATAGCATTAAAGCCAAAGCAAACTTTCTTTAAGGCACCCATTGGTTCAACCATTGAGGTAGTTTTTGATAACTTTACACAAGGCTTCGGTTATGGCGGATGCTCAATGGCGGGAGTTGAAATCAAAACAGGAAAGGATAAACGTCATACTGGTTACAGGTAACTGTCTAACATTGTGAGCTAGTTGACCATTGTAGTTGAGTTGCTTCAAGTGTTTAGATTCTGTGATTCAAAAAAGGCTGGAATATCATTGATTTCTACGTACAACGTAGTCCCTGTAATTACTTTCAACAATTTCTACGAAACCAAAGTGGTTCTACGTTATCGAATTGGTAATTTTTCAGTTTATAGCAGTACTTTACAGACTTCTTTCTTAGCCATTCACTGCTATAATGATTTGATGCAGCTTCGTCTGGTCCGGTGACTTCTCAAACAACACCTAGGCCAACTGCAGGCGCCACTACTCGGCCGAAGTATACCCCTAGACCTGATTGCAAAGACGTTTCTAAATCTGTGTACGTGCTAATAATATCTGTTTTATATTCTTACAAATTCTAAATATTACACTTGTTCAGATGCAATACACTAATGACATGGAACTTCTGCCGTTCCTCCAAGTATGATGAGGACTTGAGAAGGTTGGTCTGTCCACAATCGTGTAACCTCTGCTTGTAAGCATTAACTTGTATCCAATAAATGCTTTTGCATACCTTTTCTTAAGCATGCATGTATTTTAAAGACTTAGACATATTCAGAAATAGACGTATATTCACACAGACCTTAATTGACGAATTAATGCTTGCACAGACGCATTCACACAGAGTTTACAAGAATGCACAGATACGTGGATGCTTATTTGGAAGGTAATAGTTGCTAGAAACCAGTTTTATGAATTTTTGCTGATTATAAACACACATTAAGCTATGACGATAAACTAGTAAAAGCAATCTTTGTTGGCTTCGGAAAGTCCCACATAAATGGCTATATATTATCTAGGTGATCACTGACGACTTTACCTTGGAGAACTCCGACGAACGTTATATTGGGACCAAGAGATTGAGTTTGGAATAAATGGGATGAGCAACTATTCCACTTTATCATGAAGATTCAGGGTTCTCATAATAACTCATAATTCCTAAAGCTACACTCTCAAAGCTGGATGTAAGGGCTCACCAATGGATAGAACCACATTGAAATAGGTCACGTTATAGTAAAGGCGTAGACGTTGAGAAAAGCATTCGCAACGCCTACCGAAGCTTCGCCAATTATCAAACTAGGATGATCACACTATCGCAACCAAACGCAACAATTATGTCTTCTAGAAAATCAATAAAAAAATTCAACCACGATTAGTAATATAGCCTTTTTCATAGCCACGTCCACCTGCCTCTTAGTGATCATAACGAGAATAGATATGTCGTTCAGCATTTCTCGTTTTCAAAATCTTACATGCTGTTTATTCTATAGACAAAAAACTGCAGAAGACCTTGTCCAGGCAGAATAAGAGTTGTGCATTTGAACAATATTCCGACAATGACGAAGAAACAAACCCTCATGCAACAGCCAAACCAAGACGCGAGATGTTCGAAGACCTTCCTGCATGGCATATGCGGGCAAACGAATCGAATTCAAAAAGTGCTAGCATCCAGATAGTATGATATAAATTATGTCGGGTCAAGTAAGAGAAATAAGTTTAGAAATCACTTTTCCAGCTACCAATAGAATGATATTCGTAAATGCTTTTGGATGCTTGCCAAATTTCGGAACAACGAAGAAGGAAGGGTACAAGGTGTGAAATTGTAAAATTAATTTACTGTTTTCTTGATGAGCAAGCACACAAAACTGTAACTTTATCCTTTATTTATAAACAAGCCGAAGTTTCGACGGATTTCAGCATCCTCAGAGCCTGGAAATGTCAAGTGGACTGCAATCTACCCAGCCAACTTTATTAATCCAACTGATACAGCTATAACATTAATATAGCATTGATATAACAATATAAAAAACTAACATTGACACATACACCTAATAACAATACTAACAATGATTTCATCTTAGAAGCTCGTCGAAAAAGAAATGAAGAAGAGAAGAAGGCGCCGATGAATAAAAGCTTAACAATGTCACACAGAAAACAAGAAAATGTTCTAGCTCATTTTTAGCACAAAGAAGGATACCTCAGTAATTTTCCGTCAAATTTCGGAAAATAACTGAACTCTCGATCGAACTCCACCGATGCACTCAGTGTCTCACAAGGGAAAAAGGATTGTGCGATAATTTTAACTTTTAATTTGCTGCCTGCTTATCATAATTTTTCAAGTTATGTGAAATACAACCGTAATGATGCTGTATAATATTAGCAAATCTCCGGACTGCAGGCGTTTCTAGTGGGGTAGGAACATGCAACTATACGATTCGGTATGAACCGTGAATTACATCTTTATTTATTATTGTTGGGACGGCTCGTTGATATAAGAATGCCAAGTAGCTAAGCTGATTTGATAAGAATTAGCTGCTCATCTTTTTGTACGCCACACGTGTCTTCTTGTAAGTAGCAGTCACAATGACGAGCACCTCAAACTTGGGTAATTAAACTGCTTATCATAGTTATACAACAGTCATAACAATACAACTGTACAATCAATGCAACAACGAAACGGGTAATAAACAGGCGCAGCCTGATCACTGGTGTTTAGGTTGCTTATGAGTGAAGAGATTGGCATATGACTTTTACTACATGAAATGGTTGGGAGGCACGAATACAGTGATTTGGGCAGCATTGCTGTGACATGAGCTAGCTAACCATGGAGCCGTTTATATACCTTTTGCGCTAGGCGGAGTCAGACTACAATAGGCGGGAAGACGGGTGCTGGAAACACTTCTCAAGCATTGCAATCTGATAAGGCGATATTCAAAGCCTAGGACCGTAAGTGCAGATATTTTACGAGATAGGCGCCAGCGAAATGTTAGACATACGGTTATCAGATCGTCATAGAGAGAAGGTCGTGCGAGAAGCATTTGAAATTCTTAGAAAGGTTTGAATCGTTTTATATAGTGAACATTCCAATATTCGTGAAGAATGTTTTCTATAGTTATTCAGTTTTTTTCGAACATTTTTTGACATCGTAAGCAAAAATAGCTAGTGTTATTGCACTGCAACATGGCGATGTTATTATGCGCAGGTTGGGACCGCCCCACATGATATTGGCCATGCCTTGGGACTCTTCTATACGCAGTCAAGACACCGTCGTGAAGATTTCATGGCACTTTATCCAGAAAATTTTCGGATAGATTTAAAAGCGTAGTTATTTACGAATTTTACTTTGGTCTTCTATTTAACCACTTTCACATAACACTTATCTTTTTCAGAAAAATGCAATAGAAGGTCCTCGGCTACTTGTGAGAACGGCGGGTAGGTAAGATCTATTTTATGCCACCCTTCATATCAAATAAAATTGCGCCATTAAGAGATGCTTAAGAGAAAGTGGTCTTGAAATTTATTTAAGGATTATTGACCTCCTGTCCCACACTCTTCGCTTTTTTGACCTATGGGTGGGTCTCGCTCGCCGTCCCATGTAAACAACATGCGGGCAAAACACATGCAGAACAGCACGGTGAGTAGCCATTTTGATCAATACGGAGTTTATTCGCAATTCGTCTAAACACTCCTCTAGGTACGCATGGGGCACAAAAGCACAACGGCGATGATGTTGAAGTGAATGTGCGGATCCCAGCGCAGGAATCAAAAACATTAACGCGCAAAACTCTTGAGGCGTTTTGGACAAATTTCAAAAATCCAAAGATGAACCGGAAAGACGAATGCCTCACTATCACACAAGACCTAGCGCCCTATTTCAAAATGCTCTTTTGACCCCTGGGTGTGTCTTGCACGCGACCCTACGAAAACAACGCGTGGGCCCGTTCCACACGTAACATCACGGTGAGTGGCCTTTCTGTTCAATATGGCGTCTATTTGAAAGTTTGATGCTCATTAATACTTTAACCTTTCTTTTCCACTGAGTAATAAAATTATTCTAATATAAAATACGTCCAGGCTCTGAGGAAGGCGATGTCAGCGAAACGTCAGCCATCGATCAATAACAACAAAAACAACGACGACGACAACGAAGACCTGTACCAACCTCGCGTCAGCTTAAGAAGATCAGTTTATAAGATCACATAAATAAAAAGATAGTGAAATTGTTTTTTATGAGCGCAAACTAGAGTTAGATGTGGTTCAAGAACATGGGAACATAAGCAGAAGATCATATCGGTTAGGTGCAAGTTAGAGACATGGAAAATATGTGAGGAAAAAGAATATTAGCACGACAACTTCAAGAAACCCGGTGCGCTGTGCTGTGCCTGTCTTTTGCAAGGATTCATAGACCGTACTTCTTGACTACAATGCGCATTTCGATTGCGCTCCAATGACACCCTAACCGATTGAGCTGACATGCGACGGTGGCCGCGCTCGCGAAAAGGTTAAAAATTGTTATTCCCCAGCTGGTTCAATAGGGTTGGTCCATTTTCATTTCCAGGCGAAAGCTTTATTGCATCCACAGTTCGATCCTCGAACTTGAATCATTGAGTCTTAAATACAACTCAGCAAGCCCGCAATGCCTTAATATACCGGTCAGCCTCCGCAATTCATGGTACAGGGGAAATATGCATAAAACCTCCTCTACGACGATAAAGCCAAATAAACGGCTCATATCTAAGTGATTAACTAACGCAGAACGCATTATATTTTAACCTTTATGCCCCTAACTGATGACAATAGCATAATAAAACCACTATTTACAGTAGTTATCAAGGGATAGTGCTATCATTAACAATAAGAAAGAAAATTTGTTACGCATAGATAAATTAATAGAAAGAATAAAGAGCTGTGAGATGGCAACAATGGATTGCATGCGGCGGGCGAGGCAACTACCTGACACGATAGGATGTTCAGCTCCAGAATGCTACGCAATCGATGAAGTAGATGATCAATGGAGTCAGAAGTCGATAGAAACTGCTACACAGTGCCTAATCTCATGTCACCAGTCGATGAAAACCATGACCCTGCTCAAGGAAAGCAAACAACGTGATTTTGTAATGCATTAAATTACAATTCAATAAGAAAGTATGAACATATAAAATATGGACAATATAACAGTTTAAAAACGTGCAAAGCATTTTTTATGAAGTAGGGAATTGAATGTACAGAGTATACTTCTCGAGAAAAACTTTAAATAAGAACTACGTTTATTGAATGCGTCGTTTTCTTGTTCAGCAATCGCGAGGTTTTTAAACAGCATACATTTACTTTCATAGAAAAACCCTTCCATATTATAAGTTTATTGAATCGAATGAAATCGAATCGGGTCTAGTGCACTAGATTCCGATAGTGCACTAGATTCCGAACTGACGTAAGCTCTCCATGAAGACCTAAATTATTTGCTGAACATACTATTTAGAGTGAACGCTAATTTAGTGAAATACTTTCCAATTCACGCATTGGATATTTCTCTACTGCTCCGCATGAGCGATTTATCACCCATCTCAGACTGGTCTTAAGGTCTTTTAAGGGATTTTGTAAAGGCTCAATGGAAATCAAGCTCTTTAGTGGTGGATCAAATAACTATTCAGTGATTGTTGAAAAAAGTGTAAAGCTCTCGGAGTTGATCAATCCCTGAGGGATGCACCATGCATTCGACTACTTTGAGCTTCGTTGAAAGTGACTGAATGCATATCTAGCCTTTACAACGACTTGCGGTGGCCTAGCGATGTATCAAGCAAGTGCTGCTATCCTCTTAGACAACTTTGGTACCAATTTGCCGACCCCGGAGAGATAGAAGGCTTGGTGGGCCATGGGCGTGGGGATGGATTCCACGCGTATGTTGGAGGGCGTCTTCGACCACTGCGCCTCACACGGCCTTCAGTGAGTGTTATCATACCATAATATTATGATAATAGGGTAATAAGTGCGAAGAACTGTTTGGCGGGGCAATAAGTAAGGGCAATAAGTGCGAAGAATCATGTGCGTCTAGTGGACCGACACTTTCATTCAGATTTGTTGTTTCTTTGCATATTCCCACAACATTATGATAAGTAAGTTTTTTGAAAAAAACGTTTCAAATCGAAAATAAATCCGCACAAGAACAAATCTTTTCGTGGAGCCTTATCCACCATAGTTCTGTTGTCGTTACTGTAAAAGACAGCACTTTGATTTCGAATAAAGAATGCAAGCCACCAGCCAAACGTTGACGTTGGTGCGGTGATGAGCATAGCACTACACACCCTTGACGCCAAGTATAAATCAACTCCTTCGGAATTCGTAGAATATTTCACTTCCTGAAAAACCGCAAAAACGAGATTCTTGTTCTTGCTTTGGTAGCTGCAAGATTACGAAGGTTTTGCTTTAAGTCTTTAGAATGGCGCTATTCAGGATGACGGGTGTTATTTTGATCTTTGGCGAAAAAACTTTGTGTTGACGTGTCTAAAGCTCTAATACACTCTTTCGAATACTAACGCAGACCTCTAGCGCACTGATCCGTCTATTCCATCTAGAGGTTTTTCGGGTAGGAGTCAGGCATTAACAAAACGTCGAAGTAAAAGAGATAACATATCAGGTTACATCGTTATGTAACATGGCAGAATCATGGTGTTTCTTCTTAAATTTTTTTAAAAAAAACACGTTACAGAATCTTACCCTTTTTTCTCTTTTACCCATTCCAATGAGTGATTCTCCTAAACGTTCCATGAAATTCACGTCGTCACCAAACAGAAACACATTCGATAAACCCTACGTAGTGATTGTAATAAAGAATTTCATTAAATAATACTTTAATTTTTAGAGTTTTGAAAACTTCGAGAAGATTAAGGCCACCTGATCGCTGGCAATCTCGTGAATGTCTCGAACGCTTGCGTTAAAATCGGATGCGACATTCATCTCGACAAAATCTGACCGACGTATGTGGGCACACATGTTGGAGCTGTTCCCTCTTAAAAACGATTTTCAATCATATAAGTATCATTTATTGAAGAGCTTCTATCTGCAGTAAAAAAAATGAAGAAAGAAATGAAACCAAACATGTTCATTCGTCGTAAAATGTCATCTCCATTTCGTTGAACATCGGCCGAAAATTGAAGAATTTGGCGGATTTCTGACACCATGTCTTCAAAGTATCGCACATTTTGCGCGTAGCGGATTTCAAGAACTAAGAACTGCTCGGTCTTTCCTCGTAGCCTAAGAAATTTTTCGTTTTCCCGAAATAAGACTTAAAATCTTAGAAAAACTCAAAAAAAGGAGAACACTAAGCAACTTCTATGACATTCGTGATACAAGAACGATTTTGCTCTGAATTTAGTTCTCCTTTTTTGTCGTTCCAGAATTCTTCCATGTGTCGGGACTCATGAACAAGTTAATCATAAAGCAAATTGGCCTGTCCCTAGAAGAACATAGGGGCCTGAATAGAAACTAGAAGGAACGACGTATTAACCGTTAATCTCTAGCGGATTTAAGCAGAGGGTCAAATCCTCGTTGTTCTGAACGAATTTTTCATTCATATACGAGTGAACAGAGTCATAATGAGTATCTCTGTATGTCTTCACGCTATAGCTCGCACGACTGTTTAGTATAAAACATGTGATCAGAACACTGGAAAGTGTGTGGAAGATGATTCTGGATCACCCTAACAAATAAGCCTCTCATCTGCCTCGGAAAAGTCTGACAGGTTCTCTTAAGTATACTCAAAACATGCTCAGAGAATTCCGACAAACTCGTGACGACAACATATTGCCAGGAGTACAAAGAGGCTCAGGCAAGTACTTTCTTGTCAGAATAATATAAACAAAGATTTCTACACGTCGTTTGACTTCAAATGTGGTACTTTATGCTTTCCTAAAACGAGTGGAACAAATTCGACACCTCGCACGCCTGTCATCAAGAGCGAACCGAAACATTTGTGGTGCACATTCGATCCTTAACGGGTTCAGGACTGTACAGCAGACACTTACTCTCTTTGGAATAAGAAAAACAAAAAAACTAGGATTGGTAAAAAAAAAAAGGGATGGAAATCTTCCATGGCGATATTATGCGGAATCATTTAACAGTAAAGGTTGGCTACTGAAAATTGAACCTTGTTGGATCCTCGTATTCGCAACAACTCATTACTCCATCTTTTTGCGCAAATGCTACGCGATACTCGTTCCGGGCCTCCTGAAACGATTTTCCTATTAATCCATCTCTCTATTGAACAGTTCGAATTAGGCAAAAACACCCAGATCTATTTTTTATCTACCTATAGGTTATACTTCTAGCTCAATTCAAAATTCGCCTTATCGTGCAATGTGACAGTAAGAAAGTTCTGCAACATTGGGAATACATTTTGGAACATTTAGCACCGATCTGAAGTGACAATTTACAATATAAACATTATCGTTATCATTACCACTATCATAATCAATATGATCATAATCATCACCGTCATTATTGTATTCCACAGATCTGAATACTGTAGGATTCCAAGCCCATGCTAAACAAAACTTTCATGGCCGAGAGACGAAAAACATGTCGGACTGGCTTTGCACTTGGAATTTATCGCCAAAGATTCTGTTTTCTTTCAGGTGAAACTTAACATCCTAACCAGGATCAGTAGTTAAAACCAACGGATGGCTTCCTTTTCATTATTAGTAAAGTAGTTAACGCCTACGAACATGAACAAGTACTGAAAAAAGTCTAAGTTCAGTCAAACAAAAATAGATGAAAACTGAAGACGTAGCAGAACTTTCCCGGTTAATTTAGAAGGACAATAGCCTTCTCAGAAAGAAAGTAATACAGTCGACTCCTCGATCGCCTCATGAATGAAGCTAAACGTCTCAATTAATTGGTAGGTATATATCTAGGGTCAAGGAGGTCCAGTATAAGATTAGAGAGGGCAAAAATGTAATTACACTTACTAGTACAATGAATGTATGCACGAGTTCTGGAAAAATGGCAGTGATTTTTTCAAGATGTCCGCCAATGTAAAAGCCTTGAGCGTTCAACGAACGAATGTAGTGTCGACGACCGAGTTTTCGAGCGATCGCATAACCGGAACAAAGGTGGAACAGCTGAAAACCATAGTACAAGTGAGTAACTTGAAGGTTGATGGTACATGGTGCACCATGTTGGCAACTACATGCTTAGCCTCAATCTTAGGCTATGACTTAGCTATTACTAAATTTTTTCAAAAGCTGGTCAAACTTTGGTTCTTCAATTTTTTGTATATGCATATGGCAATGTACACTTCGCCTGTTTTTTCCGTATTGTATGACTGTTTAAGCCGACGTATCTAGTGCACTAGGCACAGATGACCTAAATGCGAACTCCCTTGTTCAACATCGCACCTGAGCAGACCACGCATTACGTCATTCTGGGACCAGCAGATTAGTATTTGAGATATCTGGAGAAGAGTCAATAAGCTCATATATAGGTAGGCTCTCGCAAAGCAGTTTAAAAGTTTAAAAGTATATATACTATTCGTATGAAATGCTGAGATATTTGCGGAGTCTTGGTGAGGCTCGGGCAAGGGGTTGATCCCATGTTTATTTCAGAGCGCCTCCAACCACTGCGCTACACGCGCCCATGCTAAGATTAGGAGCATGAAAGATAAGGGATAAGCTCTCGGCTTTGATCAATCCTTGAGGGATACGCCATGCATTCGACTTCATTAAGCACTGTTCAGAGGTGATTGAATGCATATCTGGCATTTAAAACGTCCCGCAATGGCCTACCGATATATCCAGCCGGTGCTGCTATCGTTCCAGACAGGTCTGGTAGCAATTTACCGAATCCGGAGGGATGAAAGGCTTGGTGGGTCGATGGGCGTGTATATCGATTCCACGTGTGTGTTGCAGAGCGCCTTCGACCACTGCGCCACACGCGCCCTTGGATTAGGAGTATACTTCGTATAATTATTCTTGTGGAGAAATTCGATGTCCTTCAATTGGAAAATACTTGCTACCGTTTACTGAATTCGAAAAATTTCAATATATCCACTTTGTGAATGTTGTTTTTCAAACACCGTTTTTTCTCGAAGAATATCACCTATTGCCCTACCTGATTTCCAAGTCGACCTCCGTTGCTTTCCAGTGCTAGAAATTGGCCATGAAGTGTTACCATAAAGAAAGATTTGTAGAATTGAAACAGGAATAAAAAAATCAACGCTATACTAGCGATATTCTGATGACGGCGTCGTGCGTCTAGCATATGCCTCAACTGGCTTTATAACGAAGGCAAGTTGGTAAAGAAGAGTATTGCCAGGCTAGGGTATACCTTAAATGGAAAAACTTCCTTGAAAGTTGTTTCGACTGAAATGATCGTATTTGATTGTAAGTTAAGGGCGACAATAATTTTGCGTGGAAGTGGTAGTATGTGATAAAACAACACAACAGGTACCTTTTTCGTTCGTTATATCGACGCTTTATCAATCCCTGTTCTAAGCAAAAACAAATGCCCATTTTCTTTTATGCATTAATATGCTTGAAGGTTAAACTGGTGCCAGGGAATCACAGTGTTTAACTCATAACGCGAGACTACCGTGTTCCACGATTGAAATAAAGGAACAAAGAGTTATTGGTCAAAATAGTGGCCAAAGAAATTTGTCAAGAAAGGGATTTTCTAAACCATTAAGTGGAAGGAATGGTTTTTCCAATTTCAGCTTTACCACTTCTGTTTTGATATGTTTTTGACTAGCCATCGACTGAATATACATAGAGTAGCAATAAATTTTGGAGCCTACTAAACTGAATATGGATGCTATAGTGGTCAAACGCGTCTTCTAAAACTGGTGGCGGCACGAGATTCCGTGCGATACACGCATGGTCGACTCGATTCAGAGTCAATGAAGCTCATTTCATCTATTCCAAGATAAGCGAACTGACTCCAAAATTTTTTGTGAAAAACCTTTCTACGTTCCACAAAGCTTGATGACTGCCCGAGGTGAAGGCCTGCTAACGGTTTAGTAGATCCACCATATAATTTAAAAAAATCAATTCGACAACAACTTAACGGCATTCATGAAGAAGACAAAATTTTCAGGCAGCGATTAAATCCCCATGTAAATCCGAACTCCTAGTGAAAGTCAAANTGTGAAAAACCTTTCTACGTTCCACAAAGCTTGATGACTGCCCGAGGTGAAGGCCTGCTAACGGTTTAGTAGATCCACCATATAATTTTAAAAAATCAATTCGACAACAACTTAACGGCATTCATGAAAAAGACAAAATTTTCAGGCAGCGATTAAATCCCCATGTAAATCCGAACTCCTAGTGAAAGTCAAACACAGGACAATAAAAAGAATGAATAAATTTTCTGACAGGCTAATTTGGACTTTCGGGAATGGAAGGCAGTTTTCATTAAGTTTCTCTTGGGTGAATTTGATATGCTCTAACTGTTCATCCAACAACTCGGAACATTTGTCCATTTTCTTTTGTGTCGAGCAAAGGACAAAATAGCCGTCTATATACCTATAGCAGAGTAGCGCCCCGAGATCGGTTACCGGTGCTTCGACCTTAGACATAAATAAACGCAATGGCAAGACTTGGTGCCAGTCGTTGTCCCATTGCTAACCCTCTTATTTAAGCGCAGTAAAAACCCCTCAAGTAAGAGGATTGGCAATGGGACAACGACTGGCACCATGTCTTGCCATTGCGTTTCTGTCTAAGGTGGGAGCACCGGTGATTGATTTCGAGCCGCTACTACTGTAGATATATAGCTGACTATTTTATCTTTTGGGCTTTCGGCTTCTGCATTGTTCTTGAGCGGTCGGTTACTTTTACAATTCTACTTTCGTTTCTGATTTCGGTTTTAACATCTCTCCGAATCAACTAGTAGAAAGACCGAGCGAAGGATTCGTCGCCGAAAACACACCTCCCTCTGACCCCATTGTGGTGAGGACCAGGATACGCCCTTGCAAGGTTATGTCAGAACTCCAGGAAGGACCAAGTTGAACGACCAGCAACAGGCCAGCCTCAGTAGCCCGTACACTGGGTGTTCCCATCTATGACGTCAGGCAGTGAGACGACCGGTGAGAGGCCAGAAATTCTCGGGTTACGCTGGACGTCATTGGCACCGGATCTGACGAACACACGAACGACACGCCATGGAGATTGTTACTTACTATGCACGTATAATGCTAGAACACTCTCCACAGGCGCTGATCTTCAAGTCCTTCTTGTAGCCGCAGATCACATTAAATTTCATGTGATCGAATTACAAGAAACAAAAATCAAGAAGACCGACATACGCCAACTAAACAACGCGACCCTTATGATCTGTGGAGAAAAGGTTCCGTCACTAAATGTCGGTGGCGTAGATTTTGCCGTCGACCCGTCCGTTGTCCATTTCGTCGACTCATACATGATTCTTTTTCCTCGCATAGCCGTCTTCCTTCTTCAACTATCGCATCATAAGAAGATCACTATCATCAGCTGCTGCTCACTGACCGACGTAGCTGATGCGAACGAATTAAATGCGTTCTACTATCAGTTGGAGAAAGTCTTCTGCAATGATAAAGCACATCATAAATTTGCTGTTGGAGTCTTTAACGCCAGAACAGATAAGGCCAATGAGAGCGAATACAGGATCGAAAATTTTGGATTAGGAGAAAGAAATGAGAATGGGGACCGTCTCGCAAGACTTCTGTCATCAGTACGTCTCTTCCATAGAAACTCGTTTTTCCAGAAGAAAGAAAGCCGCCGCTGGACATGGGAGTCTCCCAACGGCATGATTCATGCGGAGATCGCCCATATTCTAACAAACAAAAGATGGTGCCTACTTGACATATCGGTAGTCCTGTCACTCTATACTAGTTCCGGTCACCGCCTTTTCCGCGCGAAGATTTGATTCAGCCGCATGCTGGAAAAGAACTTTTTTCATCGACCGCGAGGAAAAAGTCTAACTGCATACTACGGAAACATTTTGAACAAAGTTCTGTCCAGACGTGATTGGCAGATTAAAGAAAACCCGACCGAAGACTACGAGCTGCTTGTCGAAGGACTGAAAAGTTGTGCCTAGTTAGCTTCAGTTCCTCAAGCAAGATGATCGGATCGCATCTCTATCCCTTCTAAGGAGTTGCTCGAAGAGAGAAGGAAACTCAAGCTTGACCCTACCGCAACACGTTTAACACAGCTTGCAATAAATGCCAGCTGCAGAAAAGATTTGCAGAAAGGTCTGCATTGGTACAGGGAAAAAAAACTACTGGAAGCGCCAGAGAAAGGAAGCACCCTAAAAAAATGCCATCGGGACTTGTGTGTTTATAATGTTCCTCTGTCAGCTCTGATGAACAAAGATGGGATCACAACGTTGCTGAGATATTTGCAAAACTCTAGACCGCAGGTGTCTATAGCTGAGAGACGTGCGAAACAAAGGACCCGCATGGTGTGGTGGTGAACGCGTTACTCCCCGGAAAGGATAATAGCGCGTTCGTTCCCCACCATAGACACCTGCGGTCCAGAGTTTTGCAAATATCTCAGCAACGTTGTGGTTGTATTTCGTTTAGTAACCTGCCATG